GACGAAGACTACTAAAGGTTTTACGATCAGTAAGTTTATTTGTAAAACACGAGTTTTATTTTCATTAAAAAAAATATTATTCACATTGATGAATTAATTTGTTCAGGAAACATATGGCGGGACTTAAAACATAAGCACGTTGTTAACATACTTACGCTTAAGGTAAAAAGTGTGCTTGTATGCTTATTTTAAAAAGCAAACTTTTTTAAGTACTTTTCGTTTAAACGCCCATTTCTAATCATGCCATCTATTAAGTCATCATGATACCGACCCGTTAATTGTATTGTAAAATTTGCTACAAATATTGCACATAAACACTTTCTTTATTGATTTCCTACAAGTCTGGTTTTCATTAGCTCTACGCCGGATTCCCTTACAAGCCTACATTCCGACAATTATTATTATTATTTTGATAGTACTCTAGTGAAAGTTTGCAACAATTATAATAACTATTACTATCTTTAAAATTGACCCAATTATAACTGCGTTTAAATTACTGACTGACTTATTAAGTCCATGTATGCACGCTTATATTAAAAGAAATGTTACACCTGGTTTAGTATGACGACGTGCATGTGAGTAAATGTACATCTTCAAAATGTTTGTGTGCTTAATGTTCGGCCGAATACAGTGAAATCATACTTGTTTTGTACGTGTCAACTTTTATTCAACCTGTGTTTCCACAAATACATTAATTATGAACCTATTTATATTTATTTTTATGATACCATGCTGATGGGATGAATAAGTCGTGCACTTAATGGTAAGCTACATGCCTACCCATAATTACAAAGCTTTAAATCACAAACGTCTGAGGGGCAATGGCATTGCGCCAAGAACCAGGTAATTTTCAGATTAATATATAATAACAATATATCTTTATTCAAAAACACACCTTAGCCTTATATACACATAGTACAGAGAAAAAATTTACTGATCAGAAATGCATACAAAATAAAATAAAACAAACAGGTAGAAAAGGCATAACAAATTATTGATTAGTTTTCTCTACCTGATTTCGATCGCAAAATTCTATTATTTGAATATTATCATGAAGTTTATTAATAATAATAGTTTATTAATAAAGTAAGAAGTATTTAATTTTCATGAAAAATTTCATATTCGTGTATTATACTGAAATATTAGTGTTATACGACAAATACGTTACATTTTTAAATACGATAATGTACTCAAATACTTAAATAATAAAAATTGCCACCGAAATTAGGTAGAGAAAACTAGTCATAAAATTACCCCACCCTAAGACATGCAGTTAACAAGTCCCATGTGCCTGTAGTTTCACCAGCACACTTACCCTTCAAAATCAGAACACAGTAATGTTCATATTTCTGCTTAGCGGTAGAAACTGATGAGGTGGCAGTGGCTGTAGGTACTTCCCTAGACGAACTTTAAATCCAATCTCTCAACCGCGATAGTTTGAGTTCAGTTTAAAACAACCACTAACATGCCAAAAATATTCATGACGCTGTCTGAAAACTCATTAAAATTCAATATGCGTCGTTTAATAATATAACGCTCGCTCAGAACACGACTCAATAAAGCGTGTTTACGAGCCAGTACCGATGTAAAGCGAAACAGGGCTCTCTCGTGCATTACTAAAGCGTGATCAACTGTTACAGCCGATTTTATGCTTCGTGTATTACCTTAACAGTTGTAATAAGTACGTTACTTTGCAGCACTGTTGTACTTAATGCATCAAACCGCAGGCACTCTCATGCAGGTAAGGTCATATATCATTCCGATGTTAAAATCCAAAGGAATATTATAAATGCGAACGTAACTCTGTTTGTCTGTTACGTGTTCACACCTAAATCAATTTTGCTGAATTTTGATATAGAGATAGATGGGACCTCACGTTGTGCACTTTATGTCACAAAAATATACATCTTAACTTGGGGACATAGAGGATAAAGTTTTGAATTGAGAACCAATCACTTCTCAAGTAAGAGCGTTTGCGCTGTACGTCCGAATCCGAGAAATGACGGTTCGAAATGTCGCAGGTTTGAAGTGACATTTTATCTCTAGGTGTACAAACGATATGCGTATTTTCTCGATTTCGACTCGGACTTAGTGCACAAGCGACATCCGAAGTGGGTCCGAGTTTTCTAGATTTGTATAGTCTACGATTCGGAACGATTATCAATTGGATGCAGCGCGCAAACACGCTTAGGGATCTGAAAATTCATTTATGGATTTTGCAAGAAATAAACAATAGTTGAGAGTTGTTGACCAATTACCTGCCCCGCCAGGTAAAATAGGGGATGATTCGAATATTTGTACTTAGAAGGCTACTCGAAGTAGTTATTCTACGCCGACGAAGTCGCGGGCACCAACTAGTCAACTATAAAATACCTATACGGGCGTACTAACAAAGAGAGCGTTTAAGTGACTGTGCCAAAATTTCTGTTTTTCCTAAGATCTGTCAGCGAAACAATGTCGAAAATACGCACAACTAACCTGCCTTCGTTACATTTTCCTCAATCAAAAGAATGACTTTTGACGTTTCAGTTGCTGTTGAGAATTTTCAATTATAAAACGAATAGCGCCCGAAGTGAAGGCAAGGGGAAGACCGGTAAAGGGGGAGATTGTAGCGGAAGGAATTGCATCAAACTCCTGAAAGCATGCGAGCCTGTTTCCTAAGCTTTGTATACATTCCTCAACTTGCCGTGTGGTTTCCTAAAACGAGGATTACAAGATATGTAATCTTCTTGTAGGTATACTGGAAACCTTACATAGAATACAGGCTACACTTACTTGCTACATGTACAGATTCCAATTAAAATACAAAATTTCATACAACTAATACCATTACAGTATTTTAGTAATAACAACAGAAATAATGGAATTGTTTTGGTTGCTAGGACACGTCTTTTCTTGTCTCTATGTTTTTTTTTGTTTTTTTTTTCTTTTCTTTTCTTTTCTTTTCTCTATCTCTCTTGTCTTATCCACCAATCATGACTATATCAATTGTTACTACTTTACGTAACAATTAAGATGCAAAGACTAAAATCAATGTGCATAAGTATCAGTGGCGAGGCGTCCACATAACTCGATTCCCACCGGCTTGCCTAAAATTTTTAACGTATGTTCAAAAGACAGCGCGCATATCTCACCACTTAAAAATCGTACATTAAATTTCAATTAATCCATTCCCGGCAATTATTTCATTCATGAAATCAATTAGATCACATCATAGATATAGAAAAAAAAGGGAGATATGGTATGGGGGCGTGGTTGGTGTCGCCTCGATATGATCAAAATGAACATATGGAGGTGACACGCTTACAAACATCGCCACAGTGACATGGCGATCGTTGTACATACAAGATCTCTCGTAAAACTTGAAAATGCCTTGTAGCGATACACCTTGTAAAAATTGGAGTGAAAACAAAAATTTTAAAACCAGTGAGATAAAATTCCACAGGCTATTTGCATTTTTAGTTACTATTTCTATTATCATTCAATGTTTTCTTCTTGTCTCCATAGAAATTTCTAGACTCAAATATAGTGATGTTCATTTACGAAGACTGATGTTTATCGACAATAAAGTTTAACTGAAATGTTTGAATTTCTTACTATAATTTTTGTTATTAAAGTACCTAAAATACCGAAGCGAAAAGCATTCACGTTGATTTCTTTTATTTTATTATTATTATTATTATTATTATTTCGGACAACCGTTTCAATTTCATGTCAATTTGGATGTTGCTGTTGCTTGAAGAAAAATTTATGTGTTTACATGTTTAAGATATTTAAATTCCGTTATACTCGTAGATTAAACGTAGAGTAATTTTTTTGGTTTTTCCAATGAGTTTAAAATAAAAGAAGGTTGGATTGAAGCTGCAGGAAAATCGAAAGATTGGTTGGTTTTCTTATTACTATTTCTGACTTTGTTTCAATTTCCATAGCAAATGCATTTAAAAAATAAATAAAATAAAATCGGCTTTATTTTACATGTGCATGCAAAATAAATTAGAAACAATTATAGATAATTACATAAATCCTCCATAAAAAACACCATAATTTAATTTATTAAATTCCTTGATGGTTCGAGTTTACTCTTGACAGTGACAGCTTCAGCAACTCGTGGTAACGTAGAATGGAAAATTGACAGTGGCGATGATCACCATATTTTTTATATTATTCTTATAAAACTGACACTGGTCCTAGCCTAGCCTAGCCATTAAAAAAATACATAGCCGCCATTAGGAAAATAATAATAATTTGTATTAATATATTAATTTAATAATACACCAGTACCAGTGTAGATATAGTATGAATAATGGAATGTTTTTTTTTATGGTAAAAACAGCCACATGGTTTCCTCGTTGAGTAGCGACAGTTTAAGGTTAATAAGGTTAACAATTCACGGAGCGGTTTCCATCCGCGCCCGCCGGTGCTGCTAGGCAGCGGTTTTATTTCAAGACTTACGACCCTGCAAGTTTGTGCGGGCACGTAGCTGCCGCGGTTGCGAGCACGAAACCGTTGCGATTGCGGAACGGACCGCGTAGTTAGTGAGAGTTAATTGCAAGTCGCGCGGTTAATAGAGAACTTACCCTGCGTGCACCTGCACCACATTGCGCCTGAACCGACCGCCAAAGTGTGCGGGCGACGAGTCCCGCCAAGCGCGCAAGCCATCGCATCTTTTTTTTTTGACGGGGGGGAAATCTTTATGTATACCCTTTTTTTTACGGGGGGAAATCTTTATAGATACCCCTGAGCCCAGGGAGACTCAGGGGTTACGTGAGACTCTCCCACTGGAGGGCCTACCTCAAACCCCCCCGGGTCTACCTCCCGCCGGTTGAGTCTGCGCCGTGGGGTCGGTGCACATTCACCACGACGCCGCCCGGCCGCCCTAGCTTGCGCCAGGGCTCCCGCGCCATCGGAGGGGCAGGTTAGTTGTCCTCCAACCCGCCCCCCAGACGAGTGAGGCCGTGCAATGCAGGCTCCGGAGTCTCTGCTAGAGCCCGCTGGCCTCACTAGGGGATCAGACGTGCAGCGAACTGCGTTCGCCTTCTCCCCGTACGTCTGCGCCGAAGCGGGTGCGCGTCCGCCGCGTCCTCGCGCACCCGCTCCGCGGCCTCCTTTTGCGACATAGCCTGTGCGCAAAAGTAGGCCACCGCCTCCCAGGACTCCTCGCTATCCAGCATGGCAGCAACCACGCTCGGCAGCGAGAGGTCCTGCCCTACAGTCCCCGTCAGAGTGCAGCGCTGCTCATCCCACCGGCTGCACACCTCTAGGGTGTGTTGCGCGGTGTCATCCGCAGCGCCGCACTCGTGGCACGACGGGGACGGTTCCCTCCTCGCCACCTTGTGCAGGTAGTGACCGAAGCAACCGTGCCCGGTCAGCACCTGCACAAGGTGGTACGACAGTGGCCCGTGGGACCGGTTTACCCACTCTACGAGGACAGAGCGGATCGCCCCTATGGTACGAGCGCCATAGGGGGGATCCGCCAAGCCCTGTTTCCACCGATCCCGCATGCGCTGCACCGCGAGGCGGCGCTCCCGCAGGTCATCGCATCCTGCGCGGTTCTACTAGTACCCCGCCTCGGCAACCGCGAGCAACCGTCACCACCACAGGCGTAAAACGCATCGTGAAATGTGCTACTAATTTTACGTACTTAACTGTTACATTCTACAGATGCCGCGGTTCCGCGGCAGACGCAGGTGAAAACCGCTCCGTGAGTACTTAATGTAACGAAAAATTAGTTTCAGCGCCATCTAACGTGTAATAGTTAGCTAATATATACTAGTAGTATTTTTACTAAAACGCCACCTGTTGGTGGCGTCTTAGTAAAAAAAAGGTTGCCTGAACCAGGATGAAAAAAATACTGAGTTATTGTAATATAACTCTTATTCAAGCGACCGTAAATTTATTTTGTTAAATTTTAAAATTATTTTACGTCGTCTTCACGTTTTAAGCCCTACCCAATCAAAATGTTTAAGTTATGGTAGTAGAAAATAGAGCGTAATGTTTGAATTGCACACAAGCTAAAAAGTGGCGACATCGGTACCCGATCTTACATAGCGTCATTACATATCTCCCCTTTTTTTCTATATCTATGGCTCACATCAAAATACACGCACACATTTGCAAAAAAACATAGTGGAATACGACCTAATAATGGCGGCCCACAACCGGAAGATCATTGGGTTATCAAAGTTATTATCGAATAGCGTTCACGTAAATTTAAATCTTATTTCCACTCAGTACGGTCTATTTTTAAACACCGATGACTTTGGCCATAATCACCAGCTTACAGGACAAAAACTTAAAGTTAATTCCTAGGAGTTGCCAGCCATGATGTTAATACAACTAAATTAGAAATATGACTTTATCTGTGCTTTGATCTGTATCGTGAGTTCTACTCAATTTATTTGGGTAATAATTTTAATGAAAGTACATATTTATATTTCATTTTTACTCGCGAGAATAAAAGAGACATAAGATCTCGAAACGCTTGACAACTGGACATTGTTGGAGTTTGATGCCCGCGTACTTAGAATAATAACGCATAGAATGATAGTTTCATATCAAACGAACTGTCACAAGTGAGGCAAAAACCAAATTCATGTAGGCGTAAGCAACTTGTAACTACGCTCGTCGGCACGCACACAAATATACAAATAATGATGCCATGGAATAACATTTCCCTCAAAAGTGGGGAAATTGTATCTTGCTTAACTCATCATTAAGTTAAAGGTGCCTACAGATTTGCCCGACATTGTCGATCAGGTGCCTACAGATGTGCTCGGTTTTGTCGATGAAAAACGAATATAGCACTTATTTGTAAATCCAAGATGGCGGACACGATTTTTCAAAATATGCTATATGGGTATCCTTTTCGAGGTATTTGGGGATGCTCATTACGAATATGGCACTCATTTCTAAATCCAAGATGGCGGACACGAGTTTTGAAATAAATGCAATATGGGTATCATTTTCGAGGTACTTGGGGATGCTCATGACGAATATGGCACTCATTTCTACATCCAAGATGGCGGGCACGATTTTTCAAAAAAATGCAATATGGGTATCATTTTCGAGGTACTTGGGGGTGCTCATTACGAATATGGCACTCATTTCTAAATCCAAGATGGCGGGCACGATTTTTTCAAAAAAATGCAATATGGGTATCATTTTCGAGGTATTTGGGGATGCTCATTACGAATATGGCACTCATTTCTAAATCCAAGATGGCGGACACGAGTTTTCAAATAAATGCAATATGGGTATCATTTTCGAGGTACTTGGGGGTGCTCATTACGAATGTGGCACTCATTTCTAAATCCAAGATGGCGGGCACAATTTTTTCAAAAAAATGCTATGTGGGTATCATTTTCGAGGTATTTGGGGATGCTCAATGTGAATATGGCACTATTTGTAAATCCAAGATGGTGTAACCTGGTTTCCCTACCTTTCCCTAATAAGGGTGAAAATAAAAGAAGGTAGGGCGGTTAACTGATTTAATTAAAAGAGAAATGAATCCCAGGGTACATAAAAATTTATGAATACGTGGGCTCCGGCCTAAAGGTACGGATCGTTAGCACTCCCGGGGTTATGCACTCCCCTGGGTAAAGGCCGGCTGGAATGTAGATAGCCGGCGCCTTGTCGTGTCGGAGACGGAAGATGTTGAAGGAGGACTCCGACGGGAAGTGAACCCGGAACTGCGGCTGCCAGGCACGACGCGCGTCGCTTGAAGTTGGTGTATGCCACGTAGTGGCCGAGGGTTTTAAACCCTAACGGAGTTCCTGTAACATGTTACAGTGCGGGTATACTGCGCTGCTGTGCACGCGCCCGTTTCGATTCCGTCCCGGCAGCTTAAGGAATGCTTTACCCAATGAGGGAAGGCTTACGTATTAATCCTGCTGCCGGGAGAAAATCACAACGGAATTTAAAATGAAAAATAACAAAGGTTAAGTACTTGTGGGTAGGCAGAAGGCACCCACAAGCAAGAACAAAGCTAAATACAACGTAATAAATACAATTGTGAAATGACACGTTGACTAAAAGGAAAGTTTAAAAGGTCAAGTCACGTAAAACCGCGTGGCATCGCATGTGCCTTCGTTAATTACGCGGATTCATCAAAATTAAATAACTGGCTGCTGGATTGTTGCTGCCAGCCGTAAGGGAACGTATTTGTTTGACCTAATGATGTACAGGAACCGCGTAATTAACGAATGCACATTCCGCGACCGCCATTTTACAAAAATAGCGAATTACGAAAATAAGTGGTGTGGTATTGGAATACTCACCCGAATACGGGAACTTCTTATACTCACAAATTGTTAATTTCAAAAGCAATTGTCGTAGTTGCCGAAATGCGGATTTATATTTGCAAATTAAGTAATTAGGAGCGCGCGTAGGCGATGCCGGCTCGTGAGAAATGTCTGCGCGGGCGCCGTCGCAACTCCTTTTATATGCGAGCCGCAGAGAATCCACGCGTTCGCATTAGCACTCGTTAACCGATTATGTAAAAAAAAGAGGTATGTAACGTTTTTCGTTACAATGGCGGGCACGATTTTTCAAATAATGGCAAGTTGGGTATCGTTTTCGAGGTATTTGGGGGTGCTCATTACGAATATTGCTTTTGTTTGAACTGTCGTGTTTGCCATCTTGGATTTAGAAATGAGTGCCATATTTGTATTGAACATTCCCAAACATCTCGAAAACAATACCCAACTTGCCATTATTCGAAAAATCGCGCCCGCATCTTGGATTTAGAAATAAGTGCCATATTCGAAACCTAAAACCGAAAATGCCATAAGCAAACATTAAAGAAATTACTGTTAAAATAGATTAAAAAATCGCTTAAGAATGCTCCCCTTTTAAGAAAATAAAATATTTTAATATAAAATATTTCGCTTGAGTTACGAAAAGAAAGACATATAATAAGCTATCAAAGTTGTACTGGTGGTGCCAACACTATAGTAGAAACAAATATATAAGTACTGTAAATTTGTTGCAATATGTGCTCCAATTCAAATAAAATTAAAATAAATAATTATTCAATAAAGCATGAACGCAGAGCCGTTAAAAGTATTATAAAATAATTAAGTGTCCCAATCACTTACAGGAGTTAACGAAAACATTTAATGTTTATTAAAGTAAGTATTAGTTCAAGATGCGCAAATAAATCTAAATTACAGGCACCACTAAAATTTACGTAATATAATTATTTTGATACAGAATAGCAAAATGGGGAGAAAAAAAATTCGTTACTTTGCAACACTTTCCTATCTTGTTGCCGCGAAATTATTTTTCTGTTTTAGTGAATATTTACATAAAAATATGAGTTGAAACGCATTACTTACTTGTGGAATGCGATGTTAGTGTCTATTTTATGTTTGTCTGTTGTATTTTTACACCCATTTACCGCACATTTCGTCATTTTTAGCAAAAAATTTTGGAGCTGTTCGCGGTGCAATATGACCTTGAGCACTAACAGCCCGCGCGCTCCTGGGACGCGTTTGGAACCCTCTAACTTGCCTCACTTAGCGTGTGCGGGCTAGGTTTCTATGCGTTATTATTCTAAGCCCGCGTATTTAATTGTTACGATTATGAAGTTGTTGTCTTGAAATTTGTGATTGTATTGTAATTAAAATGAAAAGAAGTGGGACATAGTTTGAAATGCTGGTTAATTTCATAAAACAGTGAGTGTTGCGAGTTGGCCTTCAAATAAAAAACTTGCAGTGCCTAGTGTCACTGCAAGCAATTAAAGACTTAAACAGTATTGTAATCTCTAAATATTTTTGTGTTTATGTTTATGGTTATGGGGAATTTAATAAACCCACTAAAACGCTCAAGATTCTGCTAATGCTGGCCCAGCAGGCGACAATAACATTACTAAAAGATGTTAAAAGGTAGGCATCCAACTCAAAATTATGGATATTAGGTATTGAACTTTTGGTTCGTTTATAAGTCATTAATTCACTCAACTTGACCTATTCTTATTGGTGTTGGTGGCTTGCTTTTCTATTGTATAGAAGGAATTAAACCTCAAATGTTTTTTTTTTGTAATTTTAAAATTATGTAATGATTTGTCCAATTCTTGAAGCATGGCATGGTTTAAAAATTAAAGTAATTTCATACCAAATCTTATATTGTAAAAATAACAAATTTATGCATACTCTCGCAAGCCAAGTCAAGTGACAACTACAGAATTTGTGTTAGTTAATTCTTTCCAAAGTGAAATTTCGACCATACACGTGCAAAAACCCTTGTAATGCGTTTCGAAACGGTTTACACTGTATGTGAAAACCAATTGTTCTTCATTTATGACGGAAAAATACACTCCCAAATTCTGTTGCTGTAATTACGATTTTAACACTAACGCGTTCGATGCATTTGTTGCGACGAAAAATGT